GAGGGGGCACACCGCACCTCAGGCGGCAAGATGTTCCATAGGGCGGGCGCTACAGCAGAAATATATACAATAAAAACCTGATTTTTATTATACATTTTCATATAATTAAAATAGTTCAAACGGTCAGCTTAAGAGACTGATCTCAAAGGCTGCTGTTGTTCTTAAATTGAATTCTGTATTTATAATAAATATATTCTCTTCTTTGCAGGATTTTGAATAAGTTTTTGGATAGTTCCCCAGAGGATGCATTGCCCTGGCATGAGTGCATCGAGCCTTGTCTGTCCTCAATGAGTGCCCACAGTAGTGAACGGGAGGTGAGGGATTAATTGCAACATAAATTGAAAAAGAGAGATTAATGAAAGGCATTTGAAGGTGGTATGAGAAATATTAGTGAGCATGTTGATCAAATTGCAGATTCTTAACTTGAGCCCAATGTAGTCAGCAAAAAGCATTTTTTGTCCCTGCTGGCAAATGTATATGATTGGTATTATATTTTGATTGAAAATCAGATAAAATTGGGTCAGGAAGTCAAAAGCATGAGGTGTATTTGCAGGTATAGAACAGGTATAGAACAAGTGCAGTTAAGTTCTTTCTCATCAATCTAATTTACTGATAGATGGTAATTTCTCCATCAGATCCATAGTTTAGATAGACTTGTTTTTGTCTTGAAAGCATGCTTCTTTTTCCAAGAGCGACAGTCTCTTTCCAGTTGCTACTTGAAACACTTTCAAAATGGTAAAATTAACCTCATTCATACTCAGAACTGTTCAAATTTGATACCCTTAGGAAAAATTAATCTTTAATCAACAGTTGATTATAGGCAGGCATAGGGAGAAGATAAGAACTTCTCCCTATGCCTGCAAAGATTTTAAATAGGCTCTATAGATGTTACTTGAATGTTAATTTTTTGTTGTGGGTAACGAGTGTATGCCTAGAGTTTGTGTCTTTGTATGTGGGAAGAGAAAAAGCATTAGAGTCTCCATGCTACATTCACTGATAGCATGTGACCCACAGAATGCTTGAAAAGGGTTAAATTGCCCATTGGGCTGAAATAGGTCTCATACCCCTGATACATGGATTGATCAACTGTTCCTGAAGATACATTGAAGAGGGGCTATAATCCCCTGGAAAATATGGCTGGTGATGGGGGATAAAGGAAATAGAGATGGAAAGGGGAACTGATTTGTGAAAAATCAGTCAGAATATTTGTGAAGAGCTGTTTTTCCAAACACTTCCCAGTGGGATTTTGTTACATTTCTGTTAACAGGTTGTGCAAGAGTTCATCCGCTTCCTACATCGTTTAGCTACCACCAACAAAGACTGTGCTGTTGTGATGTGTCGGGTAGGCACAAAGGAAGCTCTGACCAAAGCTATGGACAAGCACAACTCCAACCTGTTGTTGGTGACAGAGCTGCGGGACCTTGTGACTGATTGTGAGAAATATGCTAGCCTTTATAAGAAGATGACAACCAGTATCCTGGCTGGTTGCATTCAGGTAACTCTGACCTTTCCAGACTGTAAGCCAGGTAGCTGGCTTAGGAACAGGCAGGCAATGAGTATCACAGACTGGTCAGATAATCTGTAATAAGTAAGAGAAGAGCAAACAGTCAAGGGGTAAGCTTGGCAGAAAATGTCTTTCTTGAGGTTGTGGGATTCTGTCCTTTGTTCCTATACAGGGATGAGCAACTTTCATGACCCTCATGTGAGTTTATTGCTTATGTGTGTGTATGTGCATGTGTGTATATATATAGAGAGAGAGAAGGAGAGGGAGAGAGAGGGGGAGAGAGTATGATTCAGTACTGTATAGAGATGGTAATAGGACAAAGAAGCTTAGTAAATTCTGTTCAGTTGACAGTTTGCATTACAGAATCAGTAGGTTTAAGAATAAATGCTTCTCTCTAACTAAGTCTTCCTAATGTATGTATTTGTTTGTTCTGCTGTCTACTTTGTTTGTACAGATGGTCTTGGGACAAATAGAGGAACATAGGCGTAGTCACCAACCTATTAATATCCCCTTTTTTGATGTTTTCTTGCGCAACCTTTGCCAAGGTAAGTGATTTATGCCTTTTGGAAGAGAATCTAAAAATTGGAGAATTCATGCACAGATCTGCTGGTAGAAGGACTAATTATCTATCTATCTATCTATCTATCTATCTATCTATCTATCTATCTATCTATCTATCTATCTAGGTTCTAATGTAGAGGTGAAGGAAGACAAGTGTTGGGAGAGGATAGAAGTCTCTTCCAATCCACATAGAGCCAGTAAGCTGACAGACAAAAATCCAAAGACTTACTGGGAATCTAATGGTAGCACAGGTTCCCATTACATCAATATCTACATGCACCGTGGAGTGGTAGTCAGGTGAGTCTCAGTGGAGGCAGTTGGAATTTGTCTAGCCAACTGGGTTGGGGGGTTTCAAGGAAGCAGGATAAGGGCAAGCTTAAATGCTGCTTTAAGATTAAATGTGAACTCAGTGGATAGTTGGTCAAAGCCATGAAATTATATGCAAGCTTTTCAGTTATTAGGAATTCTTCATTAGGCAAAATGGTGAATAAAGCAAAAGCAGGGAAGGGAGGAGGAAAGAAGAGGGGCAGATTAGTTTGCATTTAATTACAATATGGTAGATTGTAAGAATAGGCCGCAACTGTGCAAATCAGGTATCAGGTGATGGAATAATTTCAGACTGCTAATATTCTCATAGTGGCTTTTGAGATGAAAAAACAAGTGAAAATTTTGTTCTCTTCCCCCGTTTTTTTAAATGGGTGACTACCTGTGTTTTTTATTTTGACTGAAAAAGAGCTCTGTTTGCAAAAATGCAACATCTTACATTTAATTTTTAAATGACCAAGTAAAAGTATTGTCCTGATTTGGATTAGTTACATTTGGGGTGTGGTGTCTGTGTTTGTGCATATGTGTGTGTGCATGTCAGTGTCTTATGTTTATGTCTATGTAGTAAGTTATTCTTTGAATCAGAAGAGAAAGGAATAGAATTGGGGCTATTTCTTATACCAGTCATGCATGAAATATTTTTAGCTACCCAGGCAGACTTTATCTCATGCTTAGTGAGTATGCTAGGATGCATCCAAAGTCTGACAAATACAAAACAGCACTTTTCTTTTTTTGCTGTAGGCAGATGACTTTAATAGTAGCTAGTGAGGATTCCAGCTACATGCCAGCTCGGATTGTTGTGATGGGAGGAGAGAACACATCTAGCATCACTACTGAGCTCAATACTGTGAGTGATTCATTTTTGTCTCTAAAGCTGGTCTGCTTTTAGAAGTCTTCAGTAAGGAAGGGTTTCTACTATATTGCTGAGATATAGTCATGGTTCATAGATCTTCTACAAAGAGCATGCATTTGTTTTGGGCTGTCCATCCTTGATTTGATATTCTGTTGAAAACTTGCCATTTCTCAAAATACCTCTGCTCCATTCTCTCTGGTACATTTTAATTAATTAATTCTATTCTATTCTATTTGACTCCAAACGACTTTGGGTGGCTTACAGTGTAACAAAAAGATGAAATACAATAATAATTAAAAAATAAAACCAACAAAACAAATAAGTAAAAATCAGATAAAGAACAAGATTGTGATTCTGCCCAACAACAGAACTCATGGGGGGCTCTAACCACCCTAGCCCAAGGTCTGGGAGAAAAAACAGGTCTTCAAGGCTCTCCAGAAGGCTGTCAGGATGGAAGCCACTCAGATTGCAGGGGAAATTTAATTACAGAGGGTAGGTGCCATGATAGAGAAGGTGCACCTCCTAGGTCCTGAAATATGATATTCTTTAATTGAAGGGACCTGAAGTGTTTTTGGTTTATATCAGCCACGTAGACACCATGAGAGACATATGGTCCCTCAAATAACTGGGGCGTATGCCATGTAGGCAGAATAACAGGCAAGTTTGGCCTTGGAGTACAAAATGAAGCAGGGCAAAGGCTAATAGTGTTTTGTCAAGAGAACAAGCTGGT